TTTCCATTTGGCACAGAATACAACTGTTCTTCAGTAATGGTGAACCACTGACATACATAATTGAACTGTCGATAACGAACTGTGGTTATTATTCCAATTGCCTTGCTAAAAGGTCATTATTTATAGCACTGAACAGCGCGAACACCCAATGAAGAAAGGAAGGATTTACCAATAGTATCGACACCGTGAACAGCACGAAGCTGTTAGTAATATTTCATCTAGTCAATTTATAGGTACACTCGTAAGAAAAATAAGAAGACGAACCCGAGTCTGAAGTTGGAGGCGATAAAGTTCTCCGAAACGTCGGCAAATATGCCAACCTTAACAGGGTGTCATCGCACAAGTACGGAGAAAAATTTAGCTACAAACTGCCCTGAAACACTGAAGATTAAACAATTACGTTGGGTTAGTGTCTGAGTCAAGCATGTTTTGCTAGTATGTGCAAAGAATCATATTCCTTCTAAGAACGGCCAATTTTTAGACGCGTTCACATCCCTGGGGGGCGTCTGTTAAATCACTTTGCCTGGCCTTCCGTCCGTCCGTCGATCAGTGAATACTCATTAACAACTCTAGAATGACTGAACAGATTTTCATGTAACAAGATACTGAGTAAACAATGTTATCAGCATCACTTTTTAGCAGCTTTATTACCAGTTAAAGTGTACGTGCATACATCTTACATTTCCAGTGAACATGTACATATATTAACACGTTTGGCGTGTCTATCACAGTTTCTCTTTCAGATTTCCCTGTTCTAACTTCCCTATTAGTGCCAGTTTGTGTAACCAACAATATTTACACAGCTTGTAGGAAAATATTATTAACAAGAATATTTCTAAAAGTTAAATAAATTTCTCCAACAATATTAAGTCCAGCCAACATTTAAATAGAACTGTTGACAAAAATGTTGCATTTTTCAGTGTCTTAGGTAGTTTAATTTGTTTTACACAATGCATATCAACATTTTTTCGCCAGTGATGTTTTTCGGTTTCATTAAAAGCACTTTTGTCTTAACGATGGGCTCACAGTACCACATATACCACATAGAAGGTAGGAGAAAACGTTCTTAGAATCTACTTGCTCCTAGACGTTACATTGAACTCGGTTTCCTTAAGCAGGGAGTAAGTCTTCTTTACATTCAACTTCTCACTTAAGTACGTGCTCTCCTTCTTAGTCAAGGCGCTGCGTTTCTTGGTGCTGATTTACCACGTTTATCGGCATTAGACAAGAGATTTCCTTTCAAAGAGTAAATATGAAATTCTGCGAACACGTTCACCCTTAATTATGTAAATATTAATGAAAACTGCAGAAAGGCACGGTCCTCTCATTCCTCCACGACAGTAGTTCCTTAACAGATGAATATTCGCTGAACAATCTTCTCGACCTCTGAGGTTTCTAGATCAAGCTGAGAGTCCAAAGTAACAAGTTCCGTCTATTAATTTGGCCCAAACAGTAACTTGAGAGGTTTGTCCAATAACTTACTCAAATAACACTGGCGTAACATTCTAGTCTAGTGACTAAACGAACTAAACTATTAAGATTTCTAACAACACGACGTTGTCTATACTAACAGCTACATGACAAAAACGTTTAATGATGTTCGACTTAAATCGCTTATTAATCGCAATATTTTAAAAACTATATACATTTTCTTTGGAATCTATAGCCTCTCCTTTTGCATTACAGGTATTATTCACAAATACTATTTGGAACTTAATAAAAGGCACTGGGCAGTTTCACAAAGTAAAAGTTCTAGGTAAACACATCAATGAATTAAATAAATAAAGCAGTGGAACGTATCTCAGGAGACTCCACAGACAGTATGGACATCTGCTACCACAATAAAATGTTAATTAGGAAGTCAATAATAAAGCTGAAATGGTTTCCTCCTTGAATCCGTCACTAGAAATCCGTTACTTGGAGGATAATAACCCATCTGCTTGTCTCTTATAGGTCAATCTCCTAAGGAGAAGGGTATTCCAGAGTCTGGATCTGAAATGAACAATGCGACAACCCCTCCAGTTTCCCAGTTTAACTCCGCACTGCAACGAATCTCGTTAAGACCGGACACGTACTTCAATCTACGACAAAAGAAGCTCTTTGGTGATTAGAAAACAGAGTGTGCATTTGAATTTCTAGTGCGCCAATTACTAGCCATTTACTTGCGTAAACTAACCTGACGCGATAGAAAATACTCTTTGGTTAGTGCATTATATAACGACACTGTATCATTATGTTGCATTGTTTTTTTGTTTTTGTTTTTTGACTTTCCCATCGTCTAAAATATGACGTTATAAAATTGAATTTCGAAAGCAGAATCCAGCTTTCGGAAAGTTATAATTTTATAATTTAGACGACTGGCAATGTCCAAAAGGGCACTTAAAACTGTCGTCAGAAAATTTTGAACTTCGACGACACTAGGGGCTCTTTAGAGCCGAATGAGATGTGCATGGTAAAATGCTTACTATGGCAAGTATTCAGTCGTGACCTACTTCAAGGTGCCCTCCTGGCACTCGCTTAGAGCAACTGAGAGAACTATGAGAATTTAAAGGAACTGAACAAGCCCAGACTCGAACAGAGAATCTTCAAAATTAATGACATGTTGTTCATTTTTAGTAAATTTAAAATTATCATGTGCATAACACAAGATTATGTATTATGTTTTAGTTACAATAAAACTTTTTATACGCAGAATTAGTGGTAGCCATACATGATGAATTCCTGCTAGTTTATTGTTCGTTTTCTGAAAGAATAGAACTTCGATACAACAGATTGAACTGCTTTTGGAAATGGGCTGGGAATTGCACTTCCTAACTTCAGTTCCACAAAACAGCCTACAACCATTTTCATTTCTTTAATTCCCTGAATAAAGGCAAACGATTAAAAAAAATCACACAAATTACTCTGCTGTCTGCTATAGGGAAGAAGATTGTTTTTATATTGATGCC